GAGTCGGTTTCGACTCGATGGCACCTGACAACAACAACAATAACTGTAACAGCTCACGCTGTCTTCTCTCTCTCTCTCTCTGGTCTAGGAGATTCTGAACCCAGGGCAGGAACACTGGGTCACTGCTTCACTTGTACGTCTTCTTGGTGGTAGTGAAGTTCCCCCTTAAATCTCTCTAGAATTGGTTCTTTTAAGCCTAGCAGTACAGCAAAACTGACCAATCCCCTAGAAAGACAACAATGCCTTTGTAGCATTGTTAAGTGCCATAGGTTCCCACTCATACTGACCCTGTATAGGGTTTCTGAGAAGCAACTGTTGGGTTTGAACAGCTGGCCTGTGGTTGACAGTCAGTGCCGATCCTACAGTGCCATACCAGGAGTCTGAGCATTGAGGCCTGACAGATCACTGTGGCAGAGCTACAAACCCAAGGTCAGAAGAGAGATCACACAAAATCTAAGTTTCTACCTGAATCAACCAGAAAAACAAGAGCAAACTAAACCCAAAACAAACAAAAGGACATACTAAAGATAGCAATGAAAACCAGTGAAATAGAAAGCGGAAAATAATAGACAAGAGCAAACTAAAAAAATTTCTGTATAATTCACTAGACCAACCAAGAAAAAGGAAAGGAAACAAAAATTATCAAAATCAGGAATGAAAGAGACCATAGCTACCCATCCTAAAGAAATGAAAACAATTGTAAGCTATTGCCATGAACAACTTTATATCAACAAAGTAGACAATTGAGAAGGAAAGGACAAATTTCTAAAACAGACACAAATTATCAAAACTGACTCAAGAAACAGAAAATCTGAATAGAATCTAATAAGAAATTTAATTAATAACTTTAAATCTTCCTATGAAGAAAACTCAGGCCTAGAGGGGTTTGATGGGTGAGTTCTATTGAACATGTAGTGTACATTTAAAGGTGGAATAATACTAATTCTTCACAAACTTTGAAAAGAGAGTAGGTATTTTCCAATAAATATAACAACAACAAAAAAAGCAAGACTTATGCCCTGGTATATAATATGATTCTGAGAAAAATGAAAAGATCTAAATAAATGGAAAGATATTCCATGTTCATGAAATGAAATGCTCAGTAATGTTAAGATGACAGTTCTTCAAAATTTTATCCATAGACTCAATATAATCCCTATGAAAACCTCTCAGGGTTTTTTTTAATAGACAAGCTGATTCTAAAATTTTATGGAAATCAAAGGGCTCAGAATAGTCAAAATCATATTTGCAATCACTGGCTTTAGTAGTTGGTGGGTAAATTTGAATAATAGTGGTATTAACTGGTCCTTGTAGGCGTATGGATAATATCCCATCACAGACTTTGCACTTCAGAACAGATCTTGATAAGATCTTTCAATTTGTCATTTCTGGCATAATAAACCGTGTGATTGTCACATTCAGAATGGCCAGTATCCTCCATTTCAGGTTACTAATGGCTAGGATATTGATGTTTATGTATTGCATTTCATTTTTTATTATTTCCAATTTTCCTACATTCATATTTCATACATTCCATGTTC